AAATAAAAGTTATAGTATAAAATAGAGCAAAATTCATATATTTCTCTACTGATATATGGACAGATCTGATGAAGCTTTTGTGAGCATTGTACGTCGCTGTTTAAACAAAACTTTTGATCGAGGAGCTTTTATAGTTAAAATAATTTCCTTTTCCATAGGACATACAGCAACAAACATCACTGAGCTGATTGAGGAACAAAACATCACTGAGCTGATTGATAAGATGAGTTTAAAAATCATGTTCAAAAAATTAATTAATAGTTAAAGAAAATGCCATATGGCAGAAAATCTTGTTTTCTTTTTTCTAAACGAAGAAAACAATGTACCAGAACATAAACTTGTTCAAAATATTTTAAGTTCAAAAAAGAAAGCTCCAAGTGACAATTAGGTTCTAATAATACACTGATGGTTACAGCATCATCTTAGCAACATTCCTTATTACCAGAAATAAATACTTTAAAAAATAATTTTTTAAAAAGACTAAACAAGTATAATAGGTATTGCCTATAATAAATATAGTATAAATACTTATGAATAATAAATAATCAAGAAAATTACATAAAATGTGAATTTAATGATATAAAATGTGAAGTTTAATGAAAATGATGTCACAAGTTATTCAGATAATGAATAATGAGATAATTTTTGTCCCCCCTGGTGATAAATCTTTATAAATTTCTATTGTCTTTTGAGAGGACTAGTTGTCAAGTACCACTGAGTGACTGTAATGTTACACCGCTGTATACTTAATACAGCACCCTAAAGATAAGAAAACCAAATAACTGCAATGATACTCAAAATACATCTGCAAACTTTTTTTTTAAAAATTTAAAATTTGCACCACAAAATTTTAAAAAATTTGATGGAACTTTTTTTTTAAACATCTGTATTTCCAACAAGGCTTCAAGCAACTGCTATAGTTGGAAGTTACTAGAAGAAAAAAAAAATAAAGTTTATAAATCAACATAAGGGTCAACAGATGGCTTCATATGAAAAAAATATTATATGAATCAGAAAAACCAGATAAAGGGAGCGAATTTTATCTACTCTAAAGCTTTTTGCGAATCTTGCAAAAGCAGTATAAAAAGAGGAAAAGAGCCTTCTTTAAAGTGAAATAAAATGAAAATGCTAGTTCAAACTAGAAGTGTTTTTGTATTTAAATGCAAAATATGTATAATTGGATCTTCTCAAGGGAGAAATAAAAATTTTAAAAAGGGACTTAAATGTAATACACAGCCTCCAGTTAATAGTCTAACTTGTCAAACTTGCTTTTCAATTATTAGCAAAAGAATTACCCACAAATGCTCTTTAGTTGTACTTAAATGTAATGTAATGCAAAAGCTTGCAAGTGATGTCAAGACAATTGAGCAAATAGCTTATGCTGTAATAAAAAACAAAAGAGAAAAAAAAGGTGTAGCGATACTTGCTACCGATGGTAAAAAAGTTAGTGTTACACTTTGAGAAACATCAATGATACTAGTAATATACAGCAACTGTCTATAAACAGTATGATTGACATACAATCAACTTTAGAATTAAGTAACACAAAAATTATAAAGTTAGCAAAAGAATTACGAATCAAAACACAAAACAGAAAAAGTTGTACAATCAGGGTTAGCAGCAGAGCTCAAACCAGCAACTTGATGATTGGTTTGTAGAGAATTTTGAACTTTTTAATATTAGCAGCAGAGCTCAAACCAGCAACTTGATGATTGGTTTGTTGAGAATTTTGAACTTTTTAATATTAAGTCTCTAGAGAAAAAAAGTTTAAACTGATCCCATTTATCAGAACAACAGATGTCAATGAGTTTCTGTGGCAAGTAATAGATAAAAAAGGAGCCTACCCTCAAAACCAGTCTGTAAAAATTTCCATTGTCGGAGGTTGGGGATTCCTTAAGGTAATTTGATTTTATAATGTGCCACTTTTGTTTCTAATTAAAAGTTTAACAAGTGTAATTTATTATAAATTATTTAGGTTTGTTTAAATGTTGTATCAAATCCAAGTGAAACAATTAAAAACAAAAGGAGAAAATATGAAGAAATTAAATTATCAAACTTCAAAGAAGGATCTGTGAAAGCATCATTTATTATAGCACTGGTACCAGATGTACCAGAGACAAATCATAATGTTAAAATTCTGATTAAAAGGTTTGGTTGGATAAAATAACCTTTACTTGTGTAGCAGATATCAAACTCTGTCAAGTCATGTGTGGTGTGTCTCCAAGTCCCATCACAATTTATCAGTGTTATATTTGTACTTGGAATAAAGCAGAAGTTTTTAGAAATAATTGCACTGAGCTGCTAACACTTGGATCACTAAGATTAAGCAGTAAATTTTATAAATCGAGCGGATCAAAAAAAATTAGAGCAAAAAAATATTTTAACTGTATTGATGAAGTTCTTTTGAGATGAGGTCCAGGACCTATTTTGCCCTCCGTATAAACCCAAATATTTTTTAAAGATTAATTTTATGATTTTTCACACTAACTTTCTCTGAATGGTATAGTTCTAACAGTTTTAAAAAGGTATGACAACCCTGTATCATTTCATCAAGCTAAAGTCTGGTTCAGCATGACTCTGTATTCGAATAAAAAACATTTAATAAATGTGTTTACTATTATTTTAATTTTAAATTTTGATTTAAATATTAGAAAATCTGTTCCTAAACTAAAGTTCCTTAACTTTTACTAAAGGTTAATTTTCAAAGTGATTTTAAGGTACCTTTTAAGTTAAAGATAATAAAGAAGAGATAATTACGGTAAATATAATTTCAAAAATGTTATATTTTTTTATTAAAAATATATTTTTAAAAATATATTATATTTTTTTAATCATTAAGTATAATTTAAAAAGTTTACATTTATTAAATAAGTTACATTAACTATGGATTATTTTAAACAAATCTTGATAAAACCTTTATTGTGTTATTGTAATCGTTATTTTCATTATATTAAAAGTAAAAAAGAATATGGAAAAGAAACAAAACTTTCTAAAAAAGTTTGCGTTTCGTTTTTGTAAAATTAAGTTTACACAGTAGTTAATAAAACTGAAATTTTCATGTTTATTATTAAAAGCTTAATTGCCAAAAAACTAAAGTTAACTTTACTCTGAAAGGATATTTTAAAATTGTTATATCTTTCGAAAAAGAAAATTTTTTATACAGTGTTAAAAAATTTTGCAACAAGTTTTTAAAAGTAAGGACGTTAATTTTTAATGTTTACAATTAGTAAATGATGGACAGTTGTATCACGTAATTATGTAAAAAAGCAATTTGTTTTTAATTCATTTTAGTGTCCTGAAAAGAAAAATAAGGCACCTAAAAAAAACTGGAAATTATTAATATACTACTGCATTTAAAACTAATTTATATTATATTATATATATATATATATATATATATATATATATATATATATATATATATATATATATATATATATTTATATATATATATATAAATATATGCAGTGCTCGAAGTGAGGCGTGATGCAATCCCGTCACCTATTTATAAAGTATATGTATATATATATGTATATATATATATATATATATATATATATATATATATATATATTATATATATATATATATATAAATATATGCAGTGCTCGAAGTGAGGCGTGATGCAATCCCGTCACCTATTTATAAAGTATATGTATATATATATGTATATATATATATATATATATATATATATATATATATATATATATATATATATATATATATATATATATATATATATATATATATATATATATTTGTTTATGTGCTAAATTCATTTTTATTTTTTTTTTAAATAACTTTTTAGATGAAGGACTTAAGTGACAAAGAGCTTTGTCAACTTGGACTTACAAAAGGAGCAAGAGCTCGCTTTCGTGTTAACATTGACCTTTTAAGGTAAGGTTAGAAAAATTTGTAAAGTTTTTATGATAATATTTGAGTTCTTTTATATTATTTTATAAAGGCCATAATGGGAGTAAATGAGTACATTAGCAATAAAAACTTTTAAAACTTGATTTTCTTTCTAAAACAAACAAAGTTGTGAGTTAAAGTAAGTATATGACCTAAGTTAAAGTGAGTATATGACTTAAGTTAAAGTGAGTATATGACTTAAGTTAAAGTGAGTATATGACTTAAGTTAAAGTGAGTATATGACTTAAGTTAAAGTGAGTATATGACTTAAATTAAAGTGAGTATATGAATTAAGTTAAGGTGAGTTGTGTGCATAAATGAGCTTGTCTTAAAAGTTTTTGTGCAGTTTATTGACATGTGCATAGTATATATATAGCTGTTATATTAAAGTTTTCAACAGAAAAGTTAAAACAAATCTAGGATAAAACATTATAAACATTGTTTTATATGAGGAAAAAAATTTTTATCAAAAATAAAGACAATTCTTAATTTAAAAAACACCAAATTTTTTTTTTTTTTTTTGTTATCATTGAATCAATTTTGCAATTAATAGACCATCCAATTTGAGTATTTTATTTCTTGATATTTGAATATATTTGCGTGTTTTTTTACTATTTGGTATTTAAATATTATTTTGAAAAGTTTTTAAAATGAAAAGAAATGGTAAACTTTGCATCAAAATATAATTTAAACTTTAAAATCAACAAGAATAGATTATTATTAAAAATCAACAAGGATAGATTATTATTAAAAAGAATTTAAAAAAATTAAAAAAAAAACATTTTTATATAGCTTTGATATCAAAACTTTATGTTAAATAAAGTATACTTTTGTTTTTCCACATGAAATAAAAATGCATTATTGTATGGTTTCTGTGTGTTTTTAAAATGCTTGATTAATGAAGTTGCTTCTAAATGTTTTTAAATTAATAGTTTAATATCTAAAAACGCTTGGGCAGAAATGATGTGCATTCGAATACTGTTATTGACCACGCAAATGATTTTTTTTTTTTTTTTCACAACTTGACCACGATTGTTTAGATGTTTTGATGGTTTTAAAAATTTCACAAAATTAAAAAAATGAAACTTATGAAAAAAGAAAATATTTTCTTACGAAAACGAAAATGTATAAGCACTAAAATAAAACTCAAAGAACTCAAAGCAAAATTACTTTTTTTTTTACGTTTTTAAATTTAAAAAAAATTAAATTAATTTTGAAACTTATCTCCGCAAAACGCTTTTACATTAAGTAAAAGCGTTTTGCAGAGATAATGATCTTTAAATTAATTTTATTTTAAAGTGCTTTGAGTGTTAAAAGTATTTTTAATTTCATAAACATCAATTTTTTTCCAAAAAAGTTGCAATTCAAAACATTTACATTATTCAACAAAATAATTATATAACTAAATAAAGTTATTTTATGTTGTTGTATAATTTACATAAAATATTCCTAAATATTCCTATACTCATTCTAAGCAACTAGTCAGAAAAAGTTTTGAACTTATTGATGAATTAAAATTACCTTAACTTTTTAGAAAGACTGAAAAATAGTTTTAAATGTTTAAAGTTATCATAAAAAGTAATATGTTTACAATTTACACAAATTGCGTTTATTTTAAGCAATCATTATAGTTAATTATTTATTTTACTTAAAACTTTCACCTAAAATAAAACCTTTAGAAAAGATCAATGAATAAAAGTTATTCATAACGTAACAATTATTTAATTCCATTTAAATCATTTAAATTGTTAAAACATCAAAATAGTCATGCTCAAATTGTAAAGAAAAAAAAAAAGTGTGGTCAGTTATAGTGTGCAATCGCATGCTATTCCAGCCCAAGCCTTTATAAATGTTACTTAATTAAAGAAAGAATTTCATAAATTCTTTTAAAAAACTTTTGTAAATTTTTTTCAAAAAATGGTTGACAACCCTGGGCATTTTGTATCATGCTTTAATAACAATTTTGTCAACGTCCACAGCTTCTGAAAAAGTATTCTCAACAGCAGGTTTAATTAAAATAAAAAAGAAAAACCAATTTTAAATTGTAAAGCATTCAATTTTAGTTTTTAAAATCAATGTTTAAAAAAAATATTTATTTGAAAGAATAATAGAATCATTCAATAAATTCATTATTAAGCCCTTTTTTTTATTTTATACTACTTTTGATAAACTATTTAAGTATTTGAATATTTTCATATTTTTTTATTCTATATTTGAATAGTTTAAAAGCTCAAGTAGTAGCAATTAATAACATAAGAACTTGGATCATATGGGAATCTTATTCAGTAATATAATGTTCAAAATGGCTAAAATAAAATAAGTTGGGTTACAAATCATCACCTATCTAAATTGAAAGAAGTCCCACAGCTACAACATCTCAAGTTCAAACTAATAGTAAATTTTGCAGATATACATTCAGATATCATTTTCTATAAAAATGGTGTTGTTAGTTTATGAAACAAATTATCATCTAGTATAATAAAAGCTAATTTAATAAATAGTTTAAAATTAAATTTAACAAATTTAAATTTTGAAAAAACTATCGCTGTCATTTTATAAGTGAAGTTAAAATGATCTTTATAATTACTTTTTGAAAGTTGTTTTCTTTTCATGTTTATATATTAATGTTTATATATTAATATGTTTATATATTAACACGTTTATATATTAATAAAAGTTTGATTTATAAAATAACTTTTTAAACCTGACAGACTTTTTTGATTGTTATGGCATTTTATGGAGCTTAGTCTGACTTAATATCAATATGTAATTATTTGTAATTAGTTAAAATCAATAAGTAATTATTTGTAATTAACTAAAATCAATAAGTAATTATTTGTATTTAATTAGTAATTACATGTTGAAATTTTTTAGAACTTTATAATTAGAAAATATGTGTTGAAAGGTATATGAAATACCATCTTTATTTTCAATAAAAGTGTTGATAATCTAAATCAGCAGTAATTTATATATAATTTATTTAAATTTTTATATAAATTAAAATAGATCTATATATATATCATAAACAATTAAAACATGTTTATAAAAATGCAATATACAAATTAAAAAGTTTGTTTTAACTTATTTTATTATCTTATTAACCTTGACAAAGTTAAGTTCATTGTTAAGCAGTTGCTCTTCAAAACTCTTTTGTTTCTTTTCTTTATTTTATACCTATAATTTAAAAAAATTAAAGTTTTCACAACAACTTAAAGAAGAGTTAATCAAATTATTTTTTTTATATAAAAAGGAATTCATTTAAGAATTGTATAATTTAATTATTACACAACTGCTATAATTTAATTCTTGAAGGGAAAAGCAGAAAATTAGTTGCTTGAAAAAATGGGTTGAAAAAAAACTGACGGAAACTTATTTTATTGATTAAGGTCGAAATTATGGTTTTTCGATTTTCTGTTCAAAATTTATATTTAAATTCACAAATGTAGATCAATATCAAAAACAAGGAAAGCAGAGTAGTATAAAATTTTAACTGATTGAAAAAATAATGTCTAATCAACATATTTTAATTTTAATTAACATGCAAGAAGTTTTGCTAAATCAACTGAAAAATCGGTAGATCATGCAAGAAGTGTTGCTGCATTGACTGACAATAGGTAGAACAAGAAAGAAGACCTGCTATATTGACTGAGGGTTTGGTTGGGCAGGCAGTATATCAATAAAAAAAAAATTGAATTATAATTATTTTCTTAATTTGTGACATCATTAAAATTATTTCGATATTGGTCATTTTCTTCTAATTTCTTATTATTTTTTGTAATCTTTTTTGTAAATTTTCTTATAATCTTTTGGGATTTTCAATACTCTTTTTTTTTTCTTTTCACAATTTCAGTTTTGTTGTCTTTTTTGATATTATTTTTGAAGGTCCTTTTTTTGAATTAAATCAGTTTTGCTGTTTTTGATACTGTTACTACTACCCACTTGAAATAAGCAAGCAACCGCTATTAGAGTTGGAAGTTACTAATAGAAAAAAGATGAAGTTTATAGAGCAAGATAATGATTAACAGACAACTTAAAAGATTGCAAATTATATGAATAAGAAAAGATGAAGTATGATAAGCACTTGTTAAATAGTTTTTAAAGTATAGACGACAACTTTGGAGAGCTTTTGCAAGACTACAACAGGTATGTTGTAGTCACAACAGTTATGTTGTAGTCTTGCAGAAGACGACAAGCTGTAGAAAAGTCTAAGGAAATCACTTTAGATACAGAAGCTGGAGTGATACAAATGTCAAGCAATGGGTCAACCTGTTTGTTGGCTTTATTAGATAGAAGCAACTAGTGGAATCAAGAGATGATATTGATGAAAAGTTTTTAGCAAACAGTTCAGCTTTGTCTTTAGGTGAGGTGACAAAATCTTTACCATACAAGAGAAATGGAATAACAGATTTTGCCCTTTTTATTGATACTGTAAAAGATTTAAATTTATGAGAAAATCATTTTATTTTAACTCAATAAAATTTTTCTATCAAAATTTTTATATATTTAATTATATTTTTTTTTTGCTATTACATTGAAATTATAATTCATCTTTTTTTTTTTTTGAAACATTCTATATATTTAAAAAAAAAAAGTTGAAAAAACTCATTTAATTTTTGCACTAAAAGCTGTTGCATTTAACAGCTCTTCTATGTTTATTTAACCTAACTTGACAACCAGTATTTAAAAAGTAGTTAACATATTTAATTCCTTTCTTATAATTTTGAGATAAAAAAAATCTTTAAAATACTGCCACTAAATTTTTTTTTTTTTTTTTTTGCAACTAGTTTGTAGTTTTTCATTCATTGTTTTTTCTTCAAAAACTTTTGCGATCCAGTAAATTTTAGTTGATTCACCCCTTGTTTTTTTCTTTTATAAACCTTAGTATTTAAAACCTTTTTCTTAGTATTTGAGAAGAACTTAACAAAAAAAAAAGTTTTTTGTATTAATAAACTTTTATTCAACAGTTCTTGGTTGCAATGATGTTGGTTATTTTTTTCCTTTATTATGTTGATTACAATTCATGAGTTTTAAATTATCAGTTATATCACATTTATACCATCAAGTGAACTAATTTTTTTTTTTTTTAAAGACTGTAAAATTGATGCCCCCAAACATATTTTAGACATTTTTTAACTAAATCACAAAGTTGCAATTTTGTTTCTTTGCTTTTTCCATAACTTGCTGCAGCTTGATGATTTTTTGTTTTATTATTACATGCTTGCTCACTTTTTTTTGTTTTATTATTACATGCTTGCTATCTTTTTTTTGTTTTATTATTACATGCTTGCTATCTTTTTTTTGTTTTATTATTATATGCTTGCTATCTTTTTTTTGTTTTATTATTATATGCTTGCTATCTTTTTTTTGTTTTATTATTATATGCTTGTCACTTTTTTTTGTTTTATTACATGCTTGCTCACTTTTTTTTGTTTTATTATTACTTGCTCACTTTTTCGATGTAATTTGATCAAATGATCATCTGTAATTTTTTATATTTCTTTAAATGCACCCATTGAACTCGACCTTTTATTTATATTCTACATACATTACAAACTGCTCTACATCCCATTCTTTCTGCAACTGTCATTTGTGTATATTTTAAACAAAGCACATCACATTTTTGCCCTGTGATTGGTGACCTTTTTTGAAATATCAGTAAATTTTTGTTAATTTTTTTTTTTTGTATTTTATATATATATATATATATATATATATATATATATATATATATATATATATATATATATATATATATATATATATATATATAATACAAAATTATTTTGTATATATATATATATATATATATATATATATATATATATATATATATATATATATATATATATATATATAATGCTACACAATGATGAACAGCTGCATTTAAAAAGACAAATAAACAATCCCAAATAATTAACTTCAAATAAAAGAAATGTTTTTTCACAAGAGTTAAATTGTGATTTTGTGGTTTTTAAAAGCAAACAAAAAATTTCTATGTATTATTTTTTAGCTGTAGTTATTTATTATTTAATGTAATTTTAAAAAATTTCAAAGGTGAAACCCTTAAATTTTAGTAGAAGTTTAACAAGAACATTTAAAATATTTTCAAATAATATAAATTTAACATTTTTATTAGGCAGCAAGGATTTGAAGAGTTTGCTGATCCAACCCCTTTTGATGCCATGATTCTAAATGATTCCATAACACCTAGTATTAATTCGTTACCTTTAACTCAGGAACTTCGCTCAATATCACCAGTCGATCCAATAGCAATGTTAATGCATCGTGACGTTTCACCTTCAATTTTAGATACAACATTTTTTAATGGTACTAAAGTTTCAACAGATGAAGAGCTATTAAGGAAAACTTCCTTTGTTAATCATGACTTGAAGAAGGACAGTTCATTATCTCATAATGTATCAAATTTATTTTTTATATTAACCCTATTGTATTGATTTAATTTGTTTAAATTTTTAATCAAATTAAAATTTAATTCAATACTTAGTTTTCAAATCTTGGTGTTTCATCGAAACATGTTACTTGTTATAATTGTGGGTATTTTGGACATTATGGCGACGAGTGTACAGAGCAAACTATGGAATCTCAGACATACAGTAGATATGGTAAGTATTGTTTTTTCAATTTTAAATATATATTATATATGGTTACATGTTTTATTTTTTAAAGTCATTTTCTTGTTATGAGAACATGTTGGTAGAATTAAATAAATATAAATTGCATAGCAATTTTTTATTTATTTTTTGATATTTGTTTTTTTTTTTAAATTCTTTATCAATCTTTTTTTGAAATATAAATCTCTTGCTTAATTCATTTTGTTTATTATAAAAATAATATTACACTGTTAACTTAATGAAATTACAGTTAACAGATGACAAAGCAGAAACTGCTGACGCATCATTGCAGTAAAGGTCAAAATCAAACTTGTTATAAAATTTTGAAATCTGAAATGAAAGAAAATAAATTATTAATACAACAAATAGCTCTCATATTCAAATGAATTATTTGATTATTTTATCTAAAGTTGCATCTTTTTAAAGTGTTTTTAACTCAATAATTTTTTTTTCTAGAAACTTAATGGTAGAGAAAATTTTTCAAAATGCAATGTTTTTTTAATTTAAAAAAAAATAATAATAATAAAATAAAACATTTTATTAAACTACATTAAAACTTTTCATCTTAAAATATTTAAAGCTTAAGTCTAAAATTACCCTTTCTATAAGTTCAAGTTTCCTAGAGTGGTGTTTAATAAGCGTCATAGTTTTAAAATCTTATTTAAGCTTTTAGCATGGAGAAAAATACTTTCTAGAAAGATTTAAAACTGATCATTTATTTTCTGATAAAAAGTATTCCGGTTGTCTAACATTTTGAAATAAAAAAAGCCAAGCTTTAACTTTGTTCCAAATATTTGTGTATATCAATTGATAATTGGTTTTCAATTTAAAAAAATGAATATTTAATACAGAAGACATGAAAAAGACTTTTAAATACTCCATTAATTAATAAAAGCAAAAAAAAAAAGAAGCATAGAACCTTTTAATCAGCTCTAAAAAACAAAATCCCTTCTGGTCGATAATGAAAAATTATTTTAAAATTTATTTTGAAAAAAATAAAATTCTGGATACTACACAAGAAAGCAAAGAAACATGGCCAGAAAGTGTTTGTTTTGAGGCAAAAGTGAAAAATTTCAAAAGAAAAGTTAATAAGAAGGTTAGCACACTTCAATAAAGAAAGTCTTGATTAATCTTGTCAAATTAAAACTAAATGAATCTAAACATTTATTTAAATTTTTTACATTTATCAAAGCAAAAATTCTATTGAGGATAGAGTTTTTTTACATCAGAAATCATTGTTTTTATTTCAAAAATAAATACTTTATTTAAGAAAAATATCTTAATAATGTAACCTTTATTTGTTAGTAAAATATAAATCACTTTAAACTATGAATGTTTGGTTAGTTTTGTATGTATGTATGTAATAACAGCAAAATAGTCGTTAAATGTTTAGGATTTTTTTAAATCGGAGAAAATATTTTTCCATTTTAAAGTTCTTAAATACTTAAGTAAAAAGTAGAAACACTTGGCATTATTTAAACTTGTTTTAATTGTGTTCATAATAATCATAAGTTTTGTTTTGAATTATAGCTATAGTTATTCTGTAGTTTTATATTTTTTTAGATATAAAGTTGATTTTTATGATTAAAATCAGCATTACAAAAACCATATCATGTAACATCACCGTGTTACTAATTTTAAAAAAGCCTTTTAAAAACATTTTAAAATAATCTTTTAAAAATTCTGTAGTTTACTTTTGTAATTCAGAAATTTTGTATTAATATTGAATTAAATTTTTTCTATAGCATTTCATTTGGACTTTGCACGCAACGCTGACGTAATAAATGCTCATGACCCATACGATGAAAGCATAACTTCAAGGTGATAACTTCTATCGTCGAATCCGCTGCTTTTATCGATAACTTCAAGGTGATAACTTCTATCGTCGAATCCGCTGCGTTTATCGATAAGATGCTTTTCCAATCAAATGGATTGCTAAAGTAATTTCGTAAATTTAAAAAAAAAACTTCTTAATTCAGCATACTTGCCAATAATTTTGAAATGCAAGATTGTACAATAGATGTTGAATTTTATAAAAAAATATATATATACATTTGTTAAAAAATTATTTTTTTACCCCCATATTCATGTTTGTATCATAAAACTAATAGTAAATATTTTCAAAATTATTCATTAAAATAAAACAAGTACATTAATGATAACAATAGCGATAACTATAATATTTTTGAAAAAAAGCCTAAACGTATATCAGAGTGCGACAATAAAACTCGTTGACAGTTAAAAAAATGACCCAACCTGAGGCGACGGCATTTTTTAGTTGTTAAGAAAGTTAACTTACAGTCATGAAGCAATAAGATAGAACGAACTCTAAGCATTTTTATGTCAATGTCAAATAAGGTTGGTATCCAAAAGATAGCAATAATCAGATAGCCCAAAAACAAAAAGCCCCAAATATAAATTTGTAAGGAGTTCATACTTTATTTAGTTATGTTTCAAACACTAGCAGAAAATTGTATGTAGTTTGATAAACAAGAGTTTTGTGAAGAATAATATAAAAAAATGTATTTATATCTTTGAAAGTCAATTTCTTGTAATAAAGTGTGCAATTTTCAATAAATATTGTATATTTTAAATAATATAAGTATATATTTAAAAAATATATATTTTAATATACATCAATGTTTATCGATTGATAATTTTGTTTATCTAATGTACTCATCATCAGCAGCAGCCGTATTCACATCCCTCCCCTGCGATAAGCTATCGGTTGGTTAAAAGTAAATCGGCAGTTTTTAACGCCAGCGATAAAATAAACTCGTGTTCTAATGTCTCCGTTTGGTTTACGGCAGGATCAAATTTAGTTATCGGAAAGTTGTTAACGCCAAAATATAACCCTGCTATACTCTACTGTTAAAACTGCTATCGGAGGAGTTTTCTATTATATTAAGAAAAACAAAAATGGTATCCAATCAAAACAAGCGTAAACAAATAAGTTAACTTCTATAACAAATAAGCTATAATATTTACAATATCAAATTTATATTATTTATCCCTTAATTGTAAAATAATTTATGTATATTTTTTATGTGTGGGAGAGTGGGGTATTGGCGAACACCTAGACGGGAATGTAAATTTAAGACACTAGTTATACTAAATTGATCATATTTAATGGTTTTCATTTGGTTTAACTATTCAGTTACGAACCTATAAAAGGAATTTTTATAAATCTTATTAAAAAGTAAAAATTTATAGCAAAAATAAAACCATTGGTGTTCGGAATTACCCTACCTACGTTGGGAAAATCCGAACACATCGGGGGGCAATCACAAAGCCTGTATATATATATATATATATATATATATATATATATATATATATATATATATATATATATATATATATATATATATATATATATATATATATATATATATATATATATATATATATATATATATATATATATATATATATAGCGGAGAACTTGTACACTTGATCCGTAAGCACCTTTGATCCTACTCAGCCGACATTTGTCTTTAAAAGTCAGGTTCTAAATGTATTTTAAATATCTTTTAAACGTTGTCTAAACATTATTATGTAAAGAACGTTTAAAAGACATTTAAAAAACGTTTAAAAGACATTTGATACCTATCTTTTAAAAGCAAATGTTCGTACGGTATAGCGTTATCTCCATACTTACAAAACTTATTAAAGAGGGCTAATAACCAACGTGTCATAAATATTGTATCTTCAAAATTAATTGCGTTTTGGTTAGAGAAAAGAACACTATTAAATTTATTTCTAAAAAGTTTGATTTTGACGACAAAAAGTAATTTTTTTACTTTTACATCTTTAATATTTTTTTACTTTTACATCTTTAATATTTTTTTGAGTTGAGTAATTATGCTTATGTCATTTTGTAACTAAGTCATTCACCTCTTGTATGGTTAATTTTGGTAAGCTATAGAAGCATCTAATATAAAAAAAAAATAATTTTTGTAAAAATGGAGCGGGTTAGCACCCTTAATCCTAATGCATTTATGCACTTTTGATCCTATGATCAATGGATTATACACACACACACAAAATGTAAAACCAATAATAAAGTTGCGGCCGTGGCGTAGTGGTTAGAGCGCTTGCTTTATAAGCAGGAGATTCAGGTTCGAAACGAGCTTTGGATATATTTAGCGTCACGGTAAGGAAGGAGGCGTGAACTTCCTGGTTAAATGCACTTCCGTGGTGCTCAAGATGTGACAAGATTGTTTGGACTTCTTGGGGCACCTAAATAACAAATTGAAAAAAAAAAAAAAAAAAGTATATATAAATAACAAATAACAAATTGAAAAAGAAATGTTATATGTAAATATATATATATGTGTGTGTATATTTATATATATATATATATATACATATATATATATGCATATATATATATACTCATATATAGCATAAGTCTTTATGTTCTCAATGCGTGTGCCACTGCATTAGCTTGGCCTATTTCCCCTCTGATAGTGTCATCATTTGAAACAGGTATAATACCTATTAATTGGAAAGAAGTGATTCAATAATTAGAAAATTGAGTTTTATGCAAAGTATTGACGATAAAAATCATTCAAAACAACAATCTATGATCACAATTTCAGCATACAAAATCAAGATAATAGCCACACACCTTACTTGTTGTGTACCAACCAAGAGCGAGATCTTGGAATTTTAATAACTATAGTTATTAAATTGCATTATCTTTAACTGCTGCATGTTTTTATTGGGTTGAACATTTTAGATTGCTACCCAGTAAACACGCAAATGTCTAATAAACGTCAAAACAACGTTTTGACAAAACGTTCAGATTTGGTCGATTATCCTTTTAGAATAAAATCCAGATTAACTTTAGAACAAACGTCCATAAAACGACTATATTCAAACATATTTTAGACGTCTATTATAGGACAATTATACGTATATAAAGCGTTTAGATTTTGTCTAATTTAAGTATAAACCTACGTATAAAGTGTTAAGATTCAGTCTAAACGTATATTAAACTTTTAGATCTTGTTTAATAACTTCTTTGATTTAGTTAACGTAATTTCAATTTATTTAAGTTTTAAAACTAATATAAGTTAAAATTACGTTATAACTTTTCAATTTTATATAAGTGATAAGAACTATATAGGTCTTGAAATTTATAAATAAGATGTAGTTATAAAAGACCTCGTCTTGTTTTTTATACTTTTTTATTTATAACTTTTATACTATACTACTTATACTATCTATATATAAAACTTATATAAAACGTTTTCATATAGTGGAGATTTCTCGGTGGACACGGACGTAAAAATGACGTCTTTTAGACGTCTAATACACATTTTGGACGTCTTTTGAACGTCTTTTGAACGCTTTGGACGTCTTTTGAACATTCAAAAGACGTCTTTTTTTGGTCCGGTGCCCACTGGGTTAGAGAAAAAATGTATGTGCACTATACTTGTTTATGTTTTGATAATTAAAAAAACAAACTAAAAGATCAAGCTTTTTGCAGTGGAAACAATAGTAACAATTTTTATCAAATATTCTTTAAATTTATTCTCATTAGCAGGAGATAAAAGTTTACATTTAGATTAAGTCAAAAATTACTAATAAAATTAATAAACTCATAAACAAATATTTTGGATCACTGTTTTCTATAGTTATCAAAAATCTTCCTAGCATTATCAAAAATCTTCCTAGAATACCGCCTGCTGCTTGTTCATCATGCACCTGTTTGTGTAACATCATCCTCTACATTCGTATTCTGATCGTCTGATTTCATAACCTGTTTTGTAACCGCAAAAAGCTAGGGTAAAATAGTTAGCATTTTAAATGTACATTCATAAATTAAAAATGGAATTACACAGAACAACTTTACAAATAGAGGATTTTCTGAATGGAAGTTTTCCAAAATTTACTGTACCATCCATGTTTATTTTTGACATTAAAAAATGAATAACGTCGCGACATAACATATGCAGTGGTTTTTTTTAGTTACATTTTAACAAATGTAACTAAATTAAGCTAAAATGCATCTAAAATTAAAAAAATAAATATTTAGTTATTAATTCTCTTGATTATTGCAAAGATATAAAAAAATATCCGAAAATAATTTTGGCAACAAGTTTTTCTTATATTTCTTATAATTAAGCTTTAATTTTTTGATTTGTATAGATCAATATTGCGTTCTTCTAGGTCCAAACTCAATTCCGATAATTCTTGGAGAGCATCACACATTAATCCTAGATCCATTAAAAACTCTGTAGATGTAATTTTTATTTTAAACTTGCATAAGTGGATTATTCATTTTTGTCTTTTGTAGGATCAACCATCGCTTCCTCAAAATGTTTTACCAGTGCTTCATAATTTTCCCATACTGCAAAAACTGAACGGAAACTAGATGATACCCAACGTGTATTTAAAATTTGACCAATTTTTAGCAGCTGCATATTAAGTAATTCTGCGCATGAGCGTAACTCTCTGCTATTTTTTGGGGAAGCATGATACACGACATAAAGCTTATCAAGAAATGATTTGAATTTGTTAATACTTGAGATCTCCCGAATAGTATCGCCTATTGATAATTCCAGTTTATGATTAGCACACTGCCAAACTATAACAGAAGGAAACTTTCCGTTGATTAATTTGAAAACGTCACTTTTGCATCCTAACATCACTGCTGCGCCATCACATGCTACACAAACTAAATAATTTTTCAAATATTCATCTTTCATCCCATAAGAATAAAGACATTGAAGTAAAGCATTAAGTAGTCCTTTCCCAGTGGACACGGACGTAAAAAAAGACGTCTTTTACACGTTTTGGACGTTTTATGAACGTCTTTTGAACGTTTTGGATGTCTTTTTTAGGTCCGGTGCCCACTGGGTAAGCCGTAACACTTTCAAGCTCTACTAAATCCAAAAATAAATTGATTGGTGAAACCATTCCGCTGCCTTTTACACAGCACC